GCCTTAATCCTCCGGACAGTTTCTCATCACACAGCTGTCAATCCTGGGCTTAAAAAGACGATTCCTTTACAAAATCCAACCTGCTGACAGAGAAAAACTGAGTTTGTTCTAGGAAATTGGCCTCCAGTGTATAAAAACACAATCCTACAAATGATAAGGAAAGTAAAATGGGAATCCTGCGTTACATAATATTATTGGAGCCACATGCCAACAACATTTAGGAAACATCTGTAAACTTCTGGCTACAGAAAATTAATAGTTGCGGTTGTGGTTACACGTGCAACTATTTATTTTTATTTTTATTTAAAGCAACAACTTCACATTCTGGGCAATACGTGATAATTAGTCATCTTTAGAGGCGCTGGTAGGTTGCTTTTGGAGAGAGCAGAACCAGACCAGCTGTTTCCCCCTGTTTCCAGTCTTTATGCTAAGCTAAGCTAAGCTAACCGTTTCTGGCTCCAGTTTCATGTTGAACAGACAACAGACAACTTGAGAGTGGTATCGATGCTCACAGCAAATAACCGTATTTCTCAAATTTTCAAAATGTTTAACTTTAATAAAAAGGTGGTCAGATCTAGTTTGAGTCAGCCTTATGCTTGACTACATGTTTCATTATATTCAAATTACAAATAAGGCAAAAGACTTTAGCGCCCAGGGAAACTTCAAACCCTATTATTTCTTTATAAGGCTAGGAGAGTGGTTGCATTGAGATGTAAAAGTCTGAGAAACTAACTATGTGACCAGAGGGAAATTAAAAAAGTTTCTGGAAATATGGGACACGGACATGGATGATAATATTAACGGAAGGTGATAATATTAATGTCTGACATTAATGGATAAAAAAACAGCACCAAAAAGTATAATACCTCTTATAAAGAAATTATTATCTACTTGTATTTATTTATTTTTCTTTTCCCTGAAGGTTCGATGTTGAGGGTGCGCAGGAGTGTTTATAAATGTTGTAACTGTATGTATGACTGTATGTTCTCTTAATTCCAAAAAACAATAAATATAATGTAAATAAAACATGTATTACACACAACTGTCATTTCATTTATATATTGTGACATCATTTTTTTCCAACTGAGACCCGCCCAGATCAAACCAGTGAGAAAAAAAAGATAGATATGAAAAAAACTGTTCATACTTTGGCAGAACATTTTGTGCACATGTGTGACCCCACTGCTTATAGTGGAAAAGATAATCGAAAAAATATGTTTTTCAGGACCTTTAAAGAAATAACAGATAATTGGGAAGAGAAGAACACACACACACACACACACACACACACACACACACACTGCTGCTCACCTACCCAACCACCCACACACACAGGAACAAATGCATCCCACACTTCAACACTCTCACCCCCCCTCCACCAAGTCCTTTTTCCTGGTTTTTGGGGCTCCTTTGTGCTCCAGATTCACAGGTAAGACAAACAGACAAGGCAGGCAGGGAGACGGACACCCAAAGGTCCTTTTGATCTTTCAGACAAAGGTTTTGGGCGGATAATAAGTGATGCTCTCACCCCCTCCTTCCTCAATCCTCCTCCTCCTCCTTTCCCAGCTCTGTGTTAAAGTAACTAATGGATGGATTGTATGGAGAGATACTTTCCCTAACTGCGTCTTTTGTGATACGTTTCCCTGAGTTAATGCTGTTTGTCTTGACAGTGATTATAGGAATGGGGGAGCTGATCGTGTGTGTGTGTGTGTGTGTGTGTGTGTGTGTTATGGTCTTACAACAGGTGGACGAATGCTACAGGGAAAGTGGGGTTAGCGTTGACAGCCCCTGTCAGATCTCTGTTTACATGTGCATATGAACACACACACACACACAGCAGAGTGCATTTGTTGCTGCCTGGGTGGGATGGAACAGCAGGGAGATCTGAGGAGAGGCGAGCAGTTGTGTTTTGGTTCAGATGTCCCATTTGGGTGTGGTGGCTCATGCTGACGACAACAGCCAGAGCAGGCACCTGTGTCTGTGCGCCTTTAATGTGTTTCACTTGCAGCTTGGACTGGAGATGCTGAGTGACGGACCGTGCTACCAGTGAGATTAAAGGATAACTCCGGTGAAATTATATATGCTTCTTATTATCAACAAATTAAAAAAACAATACATAATATGTGTTTAGCTAAGCCCAATCCTTCACATTCTCTGTGCCATACAGGCCTTGTTTGTAGTCCAAAAACTATTAAAAGCACATTAATGAGCCTCACTCTTGCACTGGGTTCCTTTATTACCATGAACACACACACTGTAGTTTTTACTCAGACCCACACTCATCATCCAGCTGCTGTAAATACTCAGTAGAACACAACAAGGCTTTTCCATTGCCACCATTTGTCACTCTGATTTATGTTTCAATTACCAGTTTAAACACACTGAATTGTGCTGAGTTGTGCTGAGTTGTGCTGAGTTGGGATAAAGCACACCTGACCGCCTCCAAGCGTGTTGCGTTGATGTCAAACAGACTGCGGCTGACCCATGATAACCCCCTTCTCCCCCTCAAACAACCCGGGGACTTTAATTTAGAAGAATTTACAGGACATGAAATATGTCACTCACCGACACAGACTGCAAGGAGGAAGGTGGCTGTGTTTATTTGTTGCCCTCTCTTAATTCAATCTTGAGCTCTCTCAACCATCGCTACTCTCTCTGCCTTTAAAACAGGGATCTCAAACTGCTGGCCTGGGGGCCCTTCATATGCAATCAAAATATAAATACAGTTCTCTTTTTAAAACACCTGCACATGTGTGGAAAGGGAGCATAAATGTGTATCAGTACGCATCTGAAAATAGTCCCCAACAAATGCAGTATTTACTCCCTTTTGAGTGATGGCTGCTGAAAACGACGTGCCTAGCTGTTTTAGGAAATTAATTAGATCATTTAAAAAAGTAAATCATATATTTGAGACCCAGTTCATTTTCAGTTTAACTCACAGACGTAGATAAGGTTGTAAAGTTATAAAGTATGGAAATATAGACTTGTGCATTGTTGGCTTGACCTGTCTGTTAACAATAACAAACATATAGAATATCACCAGCCTTATCCTTTAAAAGGGAAGGGATCCATTATTGTATCCTTGGATATGATAGGAAGTCCACAGAAGAAACAATAGTAAAATAGATCCATAGCTTAATAAAGCAAATTAGTTTATTTTCATTCTATAAGAATTTTAATGTAAATGTCCCTCATTTATGTGATCAAATTACCTGTACAATGTGTCATGTATAGTACT